CAATTCAGTCAACCCTTTTTGTTACATCAGCATGGGTGCAAATGAGAATAGCATAGAACTGCTGATTTATTTTGTATATTTATTCCAAAAGCACAGAATTCTGATTACTTAACAGAATGTTCATTTGCAGAGATGAATAAACTGTTATGGTCTGCAGTTTTGAGGAATGTTATGTATATTTTTCTGGGGCTAGTTTCGTAGAGAAAATTTGATGCGTAACATAGTGAACCTGTATGCTTTTAAGCTGGCTCCAGGTCCACATAGCAGAGATCCTCAGGTGCATGCTCAGTTCCTTTTGTATCTGAGCCCCTCAGTATCTGTAAGGCCCTGGTGCTCTATACATAATCTGCTACAGGTTGCCTGATTCATGTCTGGCCAGCCTTCTTCCAACCTCACAATAGAAACAGAAGGGTGCAGCTGTCAACCTAAAACTGGAGGTGACACACTGGACTCGCTTACCTGTCAAAAAAGCAGCAGCCACTAACACAAGCAGAGGAAAAGTCAGTGGGAATAGCAAGCAACACGTTTCAGGGATACATCCATTTTTCAAGTTGCTTTATCAACAGCTGAGGCGTTCAAGCATGCCAGTGTGTGGATCAGGTTGACAGCTTGCTGACTGTATGCCAAGTCAGGTCCAGTTCCTTGGCAGTGCTGTGCGTTAGTAGATATTGTTTTTATCATTCAATAAATGTATGTGATAAAAACTTATATACTATAAACTTTTTCCTGCACACTTCTCTTCTGTTTCCATTGTCTGCATTAGCTAGATCTCCCTGATCCATGCAAGGTGCTGCAGGATCAGTTACTGTTGTTTACCATATGGAATCCTTTGACTCACAAGGACTGTGTCATTTAGTGATTTTCTGGGACCACAAAAAGATCTGTGAAAATAAATGACTATAATGACTTTTGATAATGCAAAATGTAAACGTGCACTACTCTTGTGCTTTTTTTTTTTTTTTTTTTTTTTTTATTCTACATCATACCTTTTTTTCACTGAATGGTGTGAGTGGTCATACTGATCAGTGCGAAGGTACTTAGGGAGGGAAGAGGTGGGCTATACATAACCTTTTCTATGCTGTAATTCTGAGATTTGTAGATATCCAAGTGCTTTAAACTGATTATGCAAACATGTAGGTGCTTATTCTTCAGACCTGGACCACATTAAATTGTGAGGTAAGCCAAGACGTTCAGATTAACTGAACTCTAAACCGGGGTCTGTAGTTCATATATTTACAAATGTTGCTATATATCATGATATAGGCAAGATTAAAGAGCCTAATCCATGTTACACACACATTTTTATGGTCATGAGAAACCTGTTCAGTCCAAGCTCCCCTCCCTCAAACTGCCTCTGCACTTTCAGAATCTCATGAGTTCTTCTCCCTATCAGATACTGTTATATTTTAATTTAGCATAGAGGTGCAGAGGTCTGTGAATAAAAAAAAAAAGTGGCAGATGGGATTTTTTTTCCTTTTAAATGCACAGTTAAAATATACATGGAATGGTTTTAGTTGCAAATTGACTTTTTAGGTATTTGCAGCTAGTTTTTTGATTCAAGCACCCCTGTCGCACACAGCTCAAAGAGCATATAGACTTCCATAGCAGAATCAGCTTGGTTTAGGCAAAGCCATTGGTAAAACACACCACACCCTACTGATTAAACAGTGATAGGGCAACAGCACACTGATTAGCCATTTTTTTTACTAACTCTTCTCCTTTTAGCATATTTATTGGCAGAATATGTACTTCTGCCTTTTAATGCTGCTCCTCTATCAACCAGTTCAAGTAGTAAAGCACAGGGAAATACAACTGATATTAAACCGTATTATGTCATCACCACTATAGTAACTTTTTTTTAAACCAAGGCATTACTTCAGAGTCACTTTAAAAAGCCACTCAGCCCCGTGCAGAGCACAGAGCCATTTGTTTACTTTTTTTCATCGCTGAACTGCGTGCAGGCAGCCCATAAAATGCAAATGGGAGCACAACAGCTGTATGGACTCACCCGCACAGCCAAGCATGACTGGTACACAGGGACTGATGCACAGACCCAAACACGGACCCTGTGCATCCACCCCTGTCAAATTTAGTTGTGCGGGTGAGTGTATACAGCCAATACACTCCCATTCACTTTCTATGGCTGCCTAGACACAGCTGAGCAGTGGAAAAAGACATGAAACAAATGGCTCTGGCTGCTGCACAGGGCTGAATGCCTGTGTGAATGAGCCCTTAAAGGATTATATACATAGTTTTCTTGCTGCTGAGTGCTGATCTGATGCCAACAAATATTCAGCAGAGGTCTGAAGAGAATTCAACCTTTCCAGGAAGTGTTGATCTCCGGGGTTCTCCGCAGCTCACACTGGTTTTTTACATTGGAGACCATGAGGGGAACCAGTAAGAGCTGCAGGGTATCCAGGAGATCGATGTTTCTGAAATTTCGGTTTCCCTTCTGACGACTATTTCTCTGCTTCGAAGCAGCATTCCACAGCATGGGAAGCAGGATTTGTTTATAGGTATGCCTTGGCTTAACTGGTGTGTTTTTGAATCTGACTGAAATTCTACTTCAGTTAAAGTAGTTATTTTGTTATGGAGATGAAATGTATGATAGAAAAACATTTTTGTAATATTTTATTCTGTTTTATAGGCTAAGATGGTCTCTGGATGTCAGTCAGTGTGTGCTTATCAAGAAGAAAAAGGATAATTGGTAATCTCATTCTTGGATTTTACATTACCAAATAAAATCATTCAAACTCCTGAAAGAGGCATACATATACTGTGCAAAAATGGAACATTCAAGTCGTCATCTGCGATTTAAGCTACAAAGTCTTAGCAGACGGTTAGATGACCTTGAAGAAGCCACTAGGAACCTACAAAAGGCAGAAGATGAGGTTCTTGATCTTCAGGATAAAATTATTCAGGCAGAAGGGAGTAATTCAAGCATGTTGGCAGAGGTAGAAGGGTTAAGGAAAAGAGTGATGAAAATTGAAGGGAAAGATGAAGAAGTTAAGAAGGCTGAAGATTTGTGCAGGCTTATAAAAGAAAAGTTAGAAAATGAAGAAAATATTACGCGGGAACTTAGACTAGAAATTGAGCAACTCCAAAAAAGAATGAGTGAGCTAGAGAAGTTGGAAGAAGCTTTTAGCAAAAGTAAAAGTGATTGTTCTCAACTCTGTCTTAGCTTGAACGAAGAAAAAAATATGTCAAAGAAGTTATCTTCAGAACTGGAATTACTAAGGACCAAGGTAAGAGAACTGGAATCTTCTGAAAGTCGGCTGGATAAAGTTGAACAACTATTAACCAGCGAGCTAGAGAAAATTAAGACTTTAACACTTAGTTTTGCTAATGAAAGAAAACGTTTCCTAGAGCGAGAGAAGCAAAATGAAAAATTAATATTGGAACTTAGAGAGCAACTGGAGGTTAAAGAGCAAACCATGGGAGAACAGACAAGAAATGAATCCAATCTTTTGGAGAGGCCCTCTGATCAGCATGGAGAAAACAACAGTTTCAGAATTGAAGACACACTGACTTCTAGGACATCGCAAAGAGTGGGTTCTGATTATGTTAAACAGTCTGAAATTCAAACGAGCAGTGAAAATGAAAAGAATAAGCATCAAGAAGATAACAAAATAAAAGAACTAAACCAAGAAATTGAGAAACTTAAGAATCAGCTTAAACACTTTAGCGATTTAGAGGAAGAACTGAAACAAATTAAAGAAAAAAACTGTGAACTACAAGAAAATTTCATCAGTGAGCAGAATAGAAACAAGCAAGTAACTGATGAATTACAGACTTTAAAAAGGCAAGCTAACCAACTTAGAGAAGTTGAAAATGGGGTTCTGGAGAGTAATGATATATCACACAATCAAATTAAAAATGAAAGAACGAAAAATAAGGTAGCATCCACTGAACCACCCATTTCAAAATATACTTCTCGGGATCTATCACCTCAACATTTAAGGAGTGAAAGGTCTCGAAATTCAGAATCTCTTTATAAGAGGCAATTCTCAAACAGTAGCTCAAGTAGTAGAAAATCCTCAAGATCTCCTCTGAATGATACCACAATAGGAAACCTACGGAAACAAGAGGATAAAATATCAGTGTCTTCATATATCTCTAGTGGTAAAGACTTTGGCTCTACACAAAATGACTTAAAAAAATTAAAAGATCAGCCATCTGTTTTAAGTAGGTATCCACCAGCTGTTCAAGAGCAAATTACACAAAAGTCTTGGAAAGCTTCTGCAGGTAAACAAACAGACAGGTCCATGAAACTCTTTGGTGAAGACTATTCCAGTAAAGCTAACTCAAAGGAAAGAAATCTCATTAGATAATGTACAGATTAAAGAAAAACCATCTGAAGAGATCTCTGAAAACACAGTTACTACAAACCTTCATGAAGAAAGAGTTCCAGTTGAAAACTGCCCAGTATCTGCCATGCTGGGCTCAGAATTGGTTAATCACAGCTCAGATCTTGGTAATGCCCAGGAGAATGGTAATTTTAATGTGGAAAGTGATCTTAGTCCACTTGTGAACTCAGAAGATGTTGTAGTTAAACCTATATTCAAATATTCAGGTAGTTCAGGAGGAGATGACAACATCACTAATAATAATGAGCAAAATGAAAGCAAGCAAAAATCTCTTATTTCGAATAAAGAGGAAGTTGATCCACAAATCAATCAAACCTCAAGTAGTCAAAGGTCTTACTATACTAGAGATAAATCAAGATTTAATCCTCAAAGCCACTAATCCCAGAGAAACCGCATATTTTAGAAAGTCTAGACTATAGGGAACCTGATAGAAGAGCTAGGTTGTCAGGACTTCACACCAAGAGACACTCCAGTCCTAGAGAAAAAATTACAATACAGGAAAACATGAGGACGTCCTCTTTTGAAAATCACATTCCTTCTTTCCAAAGAGAGATCGTGACAGACTCATTTAGAAAAATTTCCTCTTCTGATGGCTCAGAAAATACAGATATTAGTTCATACACAGCAACACGAACCAGATCATGTAGTCCAAGAGAATCCTTGCAATCCACAATGATCATTAAGCCTATTATTATTGAAAAAGATATGAAAGAAAGTATGAGTGACTATAGGGCAAGATCAAGCTCAGAGTCAAGCAGATCTCAGGTCAATTTGACACCAAACAAAGTGACAACCAGCATAAAAATTTATCCATCTGAAGCTATCTCCCCTCGCACAAGCATGGATGAGCCCACTAGAGAAAGGCATACTTCAACAAGTAATATTAGGCTTTCTGCAAATGATCAGCCAGTGTTAAAAAACAATATAAGTATACCTTTTGAAATATCTATTAACAAGGAGGATATGGTATTTAAAATGGCAAATACAGATAAGAATTTGGAGCACAAAGAAATATACAGGGCCATTGATCACAAGATTGGGAAGGAGCGAGCAAAGGGAACTGATAATGAACTTGAGAGTGAACCTGTGACATGGAAAAGTCATAACCGGTTTGAAACGAACCATGTGGACAGTAAACGTGGAACTGTTAGAAGTTGGAGGAAAGGAGTCTATGGTTCAACTGAAGAACTAGATAGAATTGACAGGGATTTATCTGAAACCAAAAGTAGACGTAAATCATGCTTTGATGAGGAGAAGCCTGTAAGGTTGCGTAACCATGAGATTTACTCAAGAAATAAAGGCGTGAGCAGTTGGAGTACTACTCCAGAATATATCTCTAAAAGGAGTCAGAGCACCCTAACTGCAACGGAGATTGTGTCAAGAAGAAATATATCAAATGACTCCTATTTAGGATATTCTTCTTGGAGCCGCTCAAGTGTTGAAGTAAGTGGAACATTTGTTATGTTGCGTATCCTGTACCCCTTTTTTATGTTGCATTATATTTTGGTTTTAAAGTGTATGTTCCGTCCAAATATTTCTTCTTTGTTAACTTCCCTCTCAAGCTTTTACTGCTATCCAGGACTCTAACAGAGAAATTTACCTGACAATATTTATCAGATAGAAGTTAGAGGAACTCTTAACAGCTACGCAGACAGACATAAAAACGTTTCTTTCATACAGTAGGGAAACATTTGGGCCCCTGTCAAATTTTTATTTCTGTCCTTATTGCAGGCCTTGACTCACTTCCTTCTTAGTGAACTGTTGTCATAAAGGACAGGAAGTGAGAAATCTCTTTAATGGACACTGGATAGTTATAAAAATGCAATGCAAGTGTTTTTATCCATCCCCACTATATACAAAACTAGAAAAACACTTATGGCTTCACATACACTTTAATAACAAATGCTAAGGAAAATATTAACGGTATGGTTTGTGTGCTCTTTATTTACCGTATTTGCCGGCGTATAAGACGACTGGGCGTATAAGACGACCCCCTACTTTTCCTGCTAAAATGTAGTGTTTGGGCTATACTCGCCGTATAAGACTTTGCACACCAGTGGGAGGAATAGTGCCCCATGATTTTATAGTGCCCCATCATTGGTATTAGTGGCAGGAATAGTGCCCTATCATTGGTATCAGTGGAGGAATAGTGCTCCATCATTGGTGTCAGTGGGAGGAACAGTGCCCCATCATTGGTGTCAGTGGGAGGAATAGTGCCCCATCATTGGTATCAGTGGCAGGAATAGTGCCCCATCATTGGTATCAGTGGGGGGAATAGTGCCCCATCATTGGTATCAGTGGGGGGAATAGGTGCCCCATCATTGGTATCAGTGGCAGGAATGGTGCCCCATCATTGGTATCAGTGGCAGGAATGGTGCCCCATCATTGGTGTCAGTGGGAGGAATAGTGCCCCATCATTGATGTCAGTGGGAGGAATAGTGCCCCATCATTGATGTCAGTGGCAGGAATAGTGCCCTATCATTGGTATCAGTGGAGGAATAGTGCTCCATCATTGGTGTCAGTGGGAGGAACAGTGCCCCATCATTGGTGTCAGTGGGAGGAAATAGTGCCCCATCATTGGTATCAGTGGCAGGAATAGTGCCCCATCATTGGTATCAGTGGGAGGAATACATTGGTATCAGTGGGGGGAATAGGTGCCCCATCATTGGTATCAGTGGCAGGAATGGTGCCCCATCATTGGTATCAGTGGCAGGAATGGTGCCCCATCATTGGTATCAGTGGCAGGAATGGTGCCCCATCATTGGTATCAGTGGCAGGAATAGTGCCCCATCATTGGTGTCAGTGGGAGGAATATGCCCCATCATTGATGTCAGTGGGAGGAATGGTGTCCCATCATTGGTGTCAGTGAGGGGTGGAATAGTGCCCCATCATTGGTGTCAGTGGGGGGTGGAATAGTGCCCCATCGTTGGTGTCAGTGGGGGGAGGGGAATAGTGCCCCATCATTGGTGTCAGTAGGAATTGCCCCATCGTTGGTGTCAAGGAATAGTGCCCCAATTGGTATCAGTGACACCAATGATGGGGCACTATTCCTCCCACTGAGACTTGCTGACCCTGTTCTCGTATGGTGCTGCTGCAGCCAGCATATGTGGTTGCAGCAGCACCTCTACACAGAACACTTACCTGCTGCTCCGGCACTCAATTTTCGCGGGGCTGCTCGGCTCCGCCCCCTTGCCGGTGATTGGCCGCCTGTGTGCCTTTCCTGAGCTACAGTTCTGGCGGCCAATCACCGGTGAGGAGGCGGAGCCGAGCAGCCGCACGAACATCAAGTGGCCGAACTAGACGCCGCGCTTCCTGGACCGGATCGTCGTGGGACTGGATCCAGGTAAGAGACATCAGCCCCTGCAAGCCCCTGTACTTAATGCCGCAGCCCCCCTAAATATGTGTACCGGCCTATAAGACGACCCCCGACTTTTGAGAAGATTTTCAAGGGTCAAAAAGTCGTCTTATACACCGGCAAATACGGTATGTACTTCTTAACACCGCTTAAATTCTTTTGGATCTGCAAGACACATTTAATACTTTTTTTTTTAAATGACCATAAAAGGAAACGGCTTATACCTCAAATGCATTGCAATATATTCATATTTCAAATGTTGATTATACTTTTAGGCCCCATTCATATCTGGGCATTCTAGAATCGCCGGCGGAATCGTGCGATTTTGGAATGTGGTAACATTTTTGCAGAATGCGCATTTCGTTGCCATTATTATTAAGGGCACCTCAAACACACAAATGAAAAATACGTTTTTCTCTTGTGACAAAATTAGCAGAACACTTAAAAAACCGTGCTTTCCAAAAACATGCCAAGGTCAGGTACAAACAAAAAGGTGCAGGAGCAACTTTGGCATGTTTTTGAAACCGAGAACAGCATATTGAAAGGAATGGTTCAAAAACTCAAAAAGAAAATGTACATTTTAGGAATGTGCAAAAAAAGTGAAAAAAATGTACTCTGCTGTGGCTAGATGTGAATAGGGCTTTAGCTGAACTGCAGGTAGATATAAACAAAACAAGCATATGTTTGTTTCAAAAGATAAAAAGGAGTTAACACAGCAAAATTCACACTGAGGGCCAGTTCACACCTTCATGCCATACACTTTTCCTGCAATGCAGTTGAACACACTGCCCTTGCAATCTGCTGCAGTTGTCAGTGTATTGTTAATGGCACTCCAAATGCCCAGTACCATGCAGTTTGGTGCAGTGCATTTTTTTTAAAGTGGACTACATTTTCTGCGTTCTGGGGCACTTTGGAGCTTATTCAAATGAAAGGGCTGCAAAAATCGCACTGCAAGGGAATGCGGCACGTGTTCCTGTGTGATTCATGTGTGAACAGGCCCTGAGTGTAGGAATCAATCAGTTAAACTCCATTGTTTTTCATATGAACATTCCGTCAAGAGAATAGGGCACAGAGGTGACTGCACCTCCTTAGTTGTCCAGTCAGCAGACTGGAAGCTGGGAGATAGTATCTCTATTTTCCTTAAAGTATATCTAAAGGCAAGATCTTGCGCAAAAAAAAAAAAAAACCAAACCTAACTGCTGTGTAACCCCCCCCCCCCCCCCATCCAAAATGAGGGGGGAAAACTTTAGCCTTTGGATATATTTTAACCACAGTAGTGTCATAGTCCTGCTTTATGCAACCTTCCTGGGAAAGAAACAATGTCTGGATAAGTTTTAAATGGCAAATATTCCCTACATTTCTAAACTGTAGAGTGAAGGAACCTTCTTGATATTTACTTTTGTTCTTTTTGCTGTAAAGGCATTCACAGGATTTTCACATGCTCTGATAAAGTAATTAGTTTACAGATTTTTACAAAATTACACTGGATATCTCATATATAGATCTAATTTAGTGTTCCTTTAGGTCCATTTAGAAAATACTATAGTTTGTGGTAGTGCACATGAAATGCTCCTTAAAAACATCTGGTTGTTGGCATTCATCCAAACACATCTTTTTGAAATAAAAATCTGGACTAACACATTTCAGTGTATTTAAATTACAGTGGAGTATGTTAAAACACACATGCTAAAAAGGCACGCATAACATATGCATGCAAAATGCATGGCTGTAAACTGGTCCTGTAAAGAGCATGTGGAGGGTCACAATGAGGTTCTAAAACCTTAGATTAGTCTGTGTATTAGCTATACAAAAAAAAGAATCCCTAAAGCAGATGAATCATAAACAAAAAAGCTTTTAGTGTTTACGTGCTAAATATCGCCTAAATTTAAATTACACAGCTAAAGTTTCCATAATTTAGTGATTACTTAGGAAAGTACCATTGCTCTGATCATGTTACTTACAAATTAAACCTGAGTACAGTAGTGAGAACAGGTTTGTAAACCCATATTTGCTGCAATAGTGACTCAAGATCAAGATCCAGTCTTCATCTATGGCTTCATGCACACTACAGTTCAAAGAAGCTACTCCTACAGCCATTTGAGCTGTTTTGAGCCTTTATTTTTCTGACTTTAACTCCCCTCCATGTTATCCTATGTGTCTATATCCACTATGGGCATTTTCAGGAGTTTATTAGTATGGGAGTTTACAGGAAGGAAAAAAAATCACTTGTACATTCAGAAGATGGGTCTTTTGAGCATAAACACTCGAAAGTGAAAAAACATGCAAAAACCACGCAATTAGCGCACATTACTGAATTTAGCCAATAGAATGCATTAACGTCAAACGCAGGAACACGCATGCAAAAATGTTTGAGCTTCTCAGTGTGCATGGAGTCTAAATCAATATGATTAAGAGTGGTTTATTTTCACGCACAGTTGTGTACAGTGTAATCTTCATTGTACTAATAGCTCAGAATAGTAAGGGTCGTTGATGGAAAAAACTGTGTAACCTTTTATATTTAACAAGTAGCAGAATCTCCGGTAATCATCAAAATGTAAACAATAAAATGGGGTGTGAACTTCATTTCAAGTTTACTCCAACAGTTCACTCCTGTATTATTACTAGCCATCCCAACCAAATGCTTTTCTAAGCTGTTGACCAGTCTGCAAAATGGTTATGTCACAAGAAAACACTGTGCAAATTCAGTGCCTCCTCACCGCCTGCTTTAACCTTTTGGTTAGTGTACTGCACAAGCTTGCATGGCACTTGCGGAGCACCCCAATGGCATATAATTGCTGCTGTGGCATGTGTACATCCCTGGCCACTGCAACTAAAAGGGCTGTAGTTGGGGGGGGGGGGGTGGAAAGAACTCTGTTCAACTGTGGGATTTTACCACCCCCCCAAACAGCAAGTGTAAACAATCCCTTACTGTCCTGAGCCCCCTATAATACAGTAGTTGCTTGCTCTGTTATTGAGGACACCAGTTCAGTATGTTTATGGGATTCACGCTGATCTGAACAAGATATTACAGGAGAGGAGTTCACTGTCTGTCGGCACAGATCGCACCTTGCAACAGCTGCTGCTGGTACCATTCTAGTTCTATTAGGGCAGGGAGAGAGGCGGAGTGCAGTTGATATCACTCAGCTGAGGACTGCAGTTGGAATCACAGAAGCTGTTGTGGCTAATGCGCCTGCCTGCTCTCCCTGCAGCCAACCCCTCTCTGAGTGAAAAATATAGTCCCAATGCTTCGCATAAGGGCTCCACTGTGTTTGAGATTCTGCAGAGGGTGGCTGAGCCACCCGATGATCGTGATCTATCGGTCAAACATCCCCCGTCTTCATTTACCTGTAGACTTATGGTGATGGTCAGATGACCCACCTCAAAAACATGTTTTCATCAACATGCACAATTATATTAGATTAATGTAGTGAGAAGACACTCCTTTTACTGCCATTATAGGCATTCTAAGTAAACAATAGCTATTTTTTTTTTTCCACTTCGGGAGAATGATTTTCTGAATAACTGTTTTGTTTTTTTTTCTTTCTTTGACAAATTGGTCATCCAATAAGTGTACACAGAAGTTGCAATGTGCAATAGGTATGGTTAGAGGAAAATCAGTCCATCATAGGCTCCATGCACACTGGGCATTTAATAACGCTGTTAACACTAGCTGTGTAAAGTCACATTAAAACCGTGAGTTTTTAAGATTTTTTTTTTTTAGCGTTTTTTACATTAGCGCTTAGTGGTGTTTTTTCGCCTTTGTGTTTTTTAGCATTTTTTCCCCCCAAAAGAAATTTTTTCTGTTCACAAAAAAGTCCAAAAACGCTGGTTTACCATGTTTTATCGTGTTTTGCCTCATTTTTCGGCATTCAAGCGTTTTTACAGCTAAAAAACTCACTAGTTCTGGGGTTTTTTTTTTTCAGCCAAAGATACGCCCCTTCCAAAAAACTTTGATTATAGTCTGTGTGCATGGATACATAGGATAACATGCTGGGGAGTTTACTGGCTGTAGAAAAAAAAGTCAAAAGCCAAAAACAGCAGCTGTAAAAACGTCCAGTGTGCATGGGGACTGCTCCCAAAAGTCAAAGGTTCAAAAACCTTTCTGAACTTTTTAAGTTTTGGTTTCAATAAAAATTATTCCCTAGCAGCTTTCTTTGTGCTTTGCCCCCTTATTTTTATCAATAATTTATTCAGGTTGATGACAGTTTTAACTCCAGAAGAAAGTATACAAGTGAGAGAATGACAAGAACAGATTCTGCTGGATGGAGGCAGACTCAAAACCCAAGACAAAAGGGCATGGTGGAGGAACGAATTCGACAATTAGAGCACTGAATTATCCACTATAAGGGGAATGGTAAGAAAAACAATGAGTGCTTATAGTTTGAAAAAAAATGGTCTTTGTAGCAATATATATATATCTCAATTTTATTTAATTTTTTGTTTTTTTTTTTAACTTGGTAGTTTACTTTTCAGCTGACATAAGCAGATTGAAGCTCTTAGCTCTTCCGTTTGATTTGCAGAGGAATGAAACAGAGTCGATACACAAGTAACCTTGTTACTGAATCTCTATCACACACCTGAACAGTGTTTATAAACACTGTGCCAGAAGGTCCATTTTTTTACAGCCCCCTATGTACTTTGATGGGATTTTTTTTGTTTTTGTTTTTTTAGGCATGTATAGCACATCCAGTGTCCATAGCTGGATTAAGCTTACTTTTACAACTAATCTCCCACAGCCAGCTGTCATTCTTCTGCTAGAATAAATACCTGGATCTGTCCCTTGTTCTCATCGTTATGTAACCACCTACACAGCATTCCCAGAATGAGGAAGAGTTAGCATTCTGAGCTAATCAGGCTGGCTCTACAGCATTGTACAGTGTAGTCTGTGAACATACATACTGGAGGGGAGCTCTAACAGATTCTCATCAGAGTGCTGCTGCTTCTTTACTATCCATTCACAGGTGGGGTTGGGTCTTGGTTCCAGGCTGTACTGTATAACTACTTTGTAATGTGCAGAAAAGTCCAGGACCTGGCTGTGCTTTCTAGCTGGGCCCCCTTTAGTACAGTTGTCCTTATAATTACCCCCCCAGAATTGCAGCCTCCTTGGTAAAATACTTACGTTCCTTTTTATTCTGCAGTCTTAACTGTGTGGCCCTGTCTAGAGCTGCACAGCCATTACAAGGATAAAATTCCGGCTGGCTCATATTCCTAAGGCACTTGCGCACTGCTGCCCCATTCTATTGTGGACAACCCACACTCCACTGGATGTCTGGAGGCCTTTATGAGTATGGTTCATCCATTGTAATGAATTGGGCTGTGATGCTTGTGTGCAGCAGGAAACGGAGCCAGTGAGAAGGTTATTTTGCAAAGGCTGTGCAGCAGTGGGCAGGTTCTTTGTGAAGATTGTTGAAAAGGGTAGGAAGATAAGCATTTTACCACATGGGCTGCATTGAGGGAATTTGACCGAAGTTAAACCTTTGTGGGCAGGGACATAATTACAGGGGTTGCAGGGGTCGCCATTGCGACTCGGCCTCATGATCCAGGGTGCTCATGCTGCTCCCCTCTACACCTGGACGGGAGGTGCGGCATATAGAGGAACCGATGCCCTCCATTTTTCTGCTGTAGCCGCAGAATGCCTGCTTCTCCTCCTCGCCCTCCCTCAGGTATTCAGTGGCTGCAGGAGGAACACCGAGGGCATCGGTTCCTCTATATGCCGCCCCCTGTCCAGCTTTCTTCTGCTGCTTACTGACCCCACTGCTCTCACCTGGCCCTCTTGTGATCTTCCCCGGCAACTTCTGTGCTCTTCGTTGATCCCCCCTGTACGTGGTTCACCCCCATAGTACTGCTGCAGGGGATATGTTAGGATAGAGGGGGGAAGGGGTACCACTCTGACTCTGTCCATTCTTAACTGAAGTGTAGTAAACTGTGTTTACTATGCTTCAGTTTGTGAGTAAATTGGAAGCTCTGTACAGAGCTATTCCTCTCTATTCATTCTGTGCAGCTGAGACAGAGAAAGGAGATTGAGGATAGGGTCCTCCAATCTCCTTCTCTGCAAAGGTGAAATCTCAGATGTCTGTTTAGACCCCTGGTATCTCACTAAAAAAATAATAAAAATAAAAACTGCAGACACCAGTGGCAGAACTACTAGGGTCTTGGTCTTATAACCAGGCCCTGGTGTTCCACCACTTGGCTCGGAGGGAAGGGCCTCTAGCCAGGGGTCAGGGAGGCCTTCATGCTTTCTTGCACTAGGGCCCTGAAGGTTCTAGTTACACCTCTGTTTGAGGGTATAACTGATAACATAAATTGTAATTCTAGTATAACTTTGGAATAACTTACTAATTGCCTGTAATAGTCCCTGCAGATCTGTCTGTGTTCTAACCTATACTGTGTATTTGTTTCAGGTCTGTGCTTTAACAGAAGATGGACTTTTATCCACTCTACCTAAAGACAATTGCTTGTCAATTTTCCCACTGCACTTCCTTCCAAGTATTGAATGGACCTCAGCCAATGTGTATAGTTGTGCAACATTTTTTAATGTATTTTTTTTAAATTTCTTTAGGTTTATCAGCCATTCTGGCAAGGGAATTACTGCATGATCTCTCAGGGTAAAAAGAAGGGCACAGACATTGCAACTGTATATAGGGCTCCGCATTGAACATGACTCTTTGGGGATATAAATATATATACACACATATATATATATATATATACTTTTATATATTGAGGAAAACATGGTTTGCATGGCTACTGCTCTTAAATGTGTAGGTACTAAAAGTACATTGTTTTTAAAACTACTTTAACTTATATGTGCAGGGCGAGTAGAAAATTTGCGTGCAAATTCTTTGTACAGTCTGGTTCTGTTGAATGGATGCTAAGCATGTAACTTTGTAAAAAATTACAGATAAATGTATGTTTTTTTGCAGCAAATTATTGTATATGTATATAGGGCAAACGTTGATTATCAAAGTTATGATAAACCCTCCCCCGAGCACAAGCTTTTAACACTTTAAGATTTGTCATAAACGCAGTCTTACTTTTATCATAATAGTACTTATTACTCATTGCGAGAAGATTTTTTTTTTTACATTGTTTATATTAAACTCCAAATTGTATACTGACTACTAAATAAAATGTATTCTTTATTTACTAATATATAAAATGTTTTTGCAATGAAATACAAACCAAAGGAATCACATTATTTATGTGATATGCACTTAGCTAACTATCTTTTTTTTTTTTTTTTTTTTTTTTTGGGGGTTTTTTTAGTAGTCTTAAATGTGCTTGCCTCCTACACACAGTGCAGAGAGATGGTTGAGGACTGAATCAGATTGTTCCTCGACAATACTGCCATAAACCATGGGATTGTCAGGGAGTGCCTCTGCAGTGCTTTTAGGCAATAAGTGCCCTAGTGCAGTGGTTCTTTAGAGGACTTTCAACACCTTGTCATCATAGGATTCTTGTATGAAAAAATAAAAAGGCCGAGCACAGCTACAGACTGCATTTATTTCACAAGGGACGGAGGTAATTGGTCAGTGCAGAGGTGACATAAAAAGCAATGATGAGAGTACAGAAATGTGTCCCCACGATTATGCATTATTATTCTTCCTTTTTTTTTTTCAGAGACAAAGTTCTTTCTGTGAATGTATCAAAAATACTGATAGCAATGCAAAACAAACAAAAGGCATAACAAGTTAGGCTTCATGTACACTGGACAATAAAAATGCCACTTTAAGAGACATTTGGAGTTTATTTTTCAGCCTGTAGACACATGTATGTTAGCCTATGTGTCCATGCACGCTTTTACTGTGTTGTTAAGCAGAAATTCTCCTGCCAGGAGAAAAGGCATTTAGAGGAGCTGAACAAGTGCTCAGTGTGCATGAGGGCCTAGGCAGTGTTGAGTTTACCAACAAGGATGGATGACAATTGCACTGTCAACCAGCACAGCAAGGGTTAAATGCTCCTTTAGTCTAGGGCAGTGGTCTCCAAACTGCGGCCCGAGGGCCAGATAGTGCCCTTTGCTTGTTTCTATCTGGCCCTTGGGGCACTATTTCATCCACTGATACCAACAATGGGGCATAATTCCCCCCCACTTACACAATGATGGAGTACAATTCCTCCCAATGACACCAACAACAGGTCCCACTGACACCAGTGATGGGGCATAATTCCCCCTACTGACACAAATGATGGGACACTATTCCTCTATATGACACCAATTATGGGTCACAATTTCTCCCAATGGGGCCCAATGATACCACTAATGGGGCACAATTCCTCTCACTTACACTAACAATGTGGCACAATTCCTCCCACTGACACCAAAGATGGGGCATTGTGCTCCACTGACATCGGGACCTTTTCTACTCTCAAAGGTCACAGTCAGGCCCCCCTAAAGTCTGAAGGATAGTAAACTGGTCCTTTGTCTAAAATGTTTGGAGACCCCTGGTCTGGGGGGTAAGAAATAAGTAGAAATACTTTTTCTTATTCCCTCAGCAGCCGGTGCTCTCCTTTTCTTTAAACCTGTAATTATGCAGCACCTCAAAATCCCCTGCTGCGACAGCAGGTTCGAGTTTTTCTCCCAGCACACACTGTCACAATTTTAAAATCAATGTGGGTGTGCAGGGCTCCACCCGGACAGCTGCATCATTCATTCACCAGGGCAGATGGTTTGTAGTGTTCAATGGACTGCAAGGGCACTGATGAGCACCCTTATAGTCCATTCTTCCTGCAGCTCTGAAACTAGCAGCCCGTGCATGGGCACAGAGCTATAGGAAGACTGTGTAGGAGCCTGGCATTGCACCTGTGATCCACTGATCATGGATGCAATGCTCTGCAGACTCCTAAGGGAAAAAAAATGATGGATGCCCTTTTTTTTTTTTTTTTTTTTTTTTTTTTTTTTTTTTTATACAGGTAAATGCAATTTTTTTTCAACCTGCATTTTTATACTTGCACCATGTATAAACAGTGCAAAAATACCCACTGGCTAGCCAGTGCACCCATGAATAACAGTGTACCAAATCATCACCAGCCGGCTTTCTACACAGTGTACAGAGCCAATCCCAACATCTCTGTACCATGGGATTTCTGTGATTACAAATGTAAACACACCATTGCTGACATTGGAGATTCCTCTGCTTCCTCTCACAACAGAGAGAAGAAATCATAGTTTTTTATGAATGGAGAATTAATGAATCTCCTATTCTTTTGGGTGTCCAGCACCGCAATTACCTTGCGGTTTCTCCTTTCAGATGTTTTCAAACTGCCCTAGCATTTTTAATTGATATATTTTAACCAGAAGTGGCAAAGTTTCGGTCTTTTTTTTTTTTTTTTTT